TTCATATAAAATTGTTTTAGCATTTTTGCAATCTAATTTGATTGATGGATAAAAATTCTATTTATCAAGTATTCAATCTAAAAACCCAAACAAAACTTTTTTTTTCTAAGGTTTTTCATCTCGAATTCTCTCTTTATGTAATCCACGGCTTTTGATGACTCTTCAAGAGTTCCAATAATGTTCAAGTCATCAATATAAATAGTAATTATATTAAATTCATATCTAAATCCTTTTATAAAGTACATGGGCATGTAGGATTATTTCCATCTTTCTTTCAACAAATATCCACTAAGGTGATTATATCACATATGTCTGGATTGCTTTAATCTGTATAAAAATTTATTTAAATTAATCGAGTACATTTCTCGAGAATTCAAATTTTGTACTTCAGATAACTTAAATCCTTTAAGGATTTTCATATAGATATCATTATCAAATGAGCTATATAAATAGGTTGTAGCTACATTCATAAGACGTATTTTAATCTTATCATATATTACCAGACTAATTAATATAGTATTGTAATTGCATCTACCATAGAGAATATATCACTTCATATTTAATACTAGATCTTTGGATAAAATTTTGTGCGACAAACCGTGCTTTATATCTCATAATCTCAATTTTCACATTTCATATTAACACAAATACCCATTTATATATATTGGTTTAACACTATTTGGTGTACAGACTATAAGTCCAAAAACTTCAAGTTCATATTGATTTATACGATGATCAAAACTATTTATTTTTCTCTCCCTAATGTTGAAAAAATTGTTTCATCAATATGACAATTAACAAACTTTGTTGTGAATAAATCTCCTATTGATAATTTTAAATATTTAATTATAAATAGAAATTAGTATCCAACATTTATTCCTAACCTCCTATGAAGACCCCTCTTTGTGTGTTATGGTGGAACAATTGAAATATATACCGCACATCTAAAAATTCTTAGATGAGAAATATTTGGTTCTTGACCATAAACTAATTGTATAGGGAGAGTTTATAATAATTCTTTTTGGCCTGATGCATACAAATGCTGCTGCATCCAAAATGGCATGCCCCTAAGCAGATATTGGAAGTTTGAATTTCGTAAGTAATGGTCTTGTAATAAGTTGGAAGTGTTTAATAAATAATTCTGCTAAACTATTTTGTTTATAAACATAAGCAACAAGCTGTTTCATAATTATTTCAATTAACTTGTAATATTAAAGGCTTGAGATG